TCCCGGCCACGGCCGGCGGCAGCGCCCGCCCGGCCCCGGCCCCGCGCCCGCTGCACTCACCCGACGAGCTGCCTTCGCAGGGCCAGGGTCTGCTGCCGGGAGCGCGGCTGTGCCGCCCGCATGGCCGCCGAGCCGCCCGCGGGCCGGCAGCGGAGCGACGGGAAGGGAAGGAAGGAGGGAGGGAAGGAGCGGCCGCCTCCCGCGGGGGCCGGGCCGGAGGGGAGGGGAAGGGAAGGGAGGGGCGGGAGCGGCGGCGCGGGGACGCGGGCACGGCCCGGCCGGAGCGCCGAGCGCAGCCCCGGGCGCAGCGCAGCACCGAGCGGCTCCTGCAGGAGCGCACCCGGGAACCCGGCGGGACCGGGCAGCGCTTCGCTCACAGGCAGGAGTGGGGACACATGGGGACAGGCTGCGGCCCCTGGGGTCTGCAGGGCTGCTGGCAGCTCACCCTTAAACCGCACACCCCAGGACTTTACACTGCTCATCCAGCCCCGCACCCCACTCACCTCCGAGGGAGGAACTTCAGGATCTTTAGCACTCTGTGATTGAAATACACATCGAGGAAGTTTCTTTTACAGTTGAAAATAATTTGAGTGGGTAGCCAAGGTTGTAGGACAGAAATGAATCTTCCACATCATTGTTAAAGCAGAAGCAAACCCAGCCTTTTACATGTTGTAGCCCTGTGTTTGGCTGGTGGCAGATAGGTAGACACCCGACTGACTCCTTCAGAGCCAACCCTAAAGCAGGTAATAGTTAGGATTAAAAGAGGAAGTGCTGTCAATCAGATTAGAATGATCTTTCTTCCATTCCTGTTTGACTGGAATTACCTAAAGGAAAATAGGGTAAAGAACCAGAAGGGGGTTCTGCCATGGATTGAGTTCTGCTCCTGCAGGTGTTGTATCCCCTAACCAAGTTCATCAACTTTTCCAACTCGATTCTAGAAAATGACACATTTGTTTTCCTTCCAAATACATGTTCACATTCTTTTGGTTTAAACTGACAAACAGCTTTTAAAAACTCTAGAAAAACAGAACAGATAACTTTAAAACTACACTTGGCAGACTTTTCTTGCTAGATATAGCCATCAATAGTTATCTGTAGCTGCAATTACTTGATGAACACAAGAGCAGTTTAAATTTTGTGCAATATGGAGAATGTAAAACCAGATTGCTATGGTAAAGGTAGATTGAACTTAGTCTAACTCTACTGCTTCATAAAGGTCAGGTTTTAAGTAACAAAAGACAGTGGAGAAAAAGTTAATAATGGCTGTTAATCTTTATTTGAACTCTTGTCTGGTTAAGATATTTACTAGGTATTTATAATAACAACCTGAACATTTACAATTTGGCAAGTTTACTCTTGGTTACAAATGCAGAGTTCATTATACATATTCACACAATTGTAAAAGTAATCTGTACAGAGAGACCATTTTTAAAGTCTTTGCTTTTATTAAAAAAAGCACAAGAAAAAAGTTTTTTTAGGTCTCAAGGTAATGTATTGTCCGTTACAGCTTTAAACTAGAAATACATGATGTAGTACTAATTAATACCATTTTAACATGTTAAAACAATGGATAAGAAATACTGTTGTTAATGCCTTCATTTTTAAAGTAGTTGTTCCCCAAAGAAGAGTAAATAGAATACTTTTCGTGGCACATACATGATCAAAAGTCACAAAAAGTTTGCAAATGGAGATGTTAAGTACATTTTCTGTAATTTTAATATCTATATATTTCTTTTCAAAGGTCACATACAGAGATTTAGCCAGCTTTGTATAAAATACCATGTAAATACATTCAAAACTCATTTTTGGCAAGCTGCAAACACACAAACAGCCTTTTCTCCTCTGAACAGCCTCCCTGGAGTGATGCAACCACTCACCTAAATAAGGGACACTTGCATAATGTGGTAGAGGATTAAGCTCTATTGACTCAACTTCAAAACAAATATGGTCAGATAAGGCACATACTGGATGTATTTTTCTAAACTGTATACAGATTTGAGTTACCAGCAGGTACAGTTTTTTAAATGCTTGTGTACACACCAGTTTTCTATCATGTCTATGTCCAAAGTCATGTAATGCAGCAAAGCAGTGGGCTTTCAGTTTTGACTGTGGCATTTGTGCTGAACATTCTTCATATTCAGTAGTTTTGATTGTTTTTAAGATAGCAGAAAAAGAAACCCAAACTGAAACTCAAAAAGCTGTTATGAAATTGTTTATAAAACTGCAGTCTATGACACAAACCAGCAAACACAACAGGCTCCAGCTCTCATTTGCACTGATGGCAGCTTAGGACCTTTCCTGCTAAATTTACAAGTTCAGTGGATGGATATCATGGGTGCTTTGGCTTTGCAAAACCAGACTGTACTTTTTAATGTAATTGCAGAAATACAAGTTTAACAAGCACTCACCTACACTTAATAAATTCCTGTAAAATGAACTTTTTAAATACAGTGTTTAACAGTACAATAAAAAGCAGCAGATGGGATCAGTGTCATTTACAGATACTTGGGTCACCTCCTTTTTAAATTTCTGTTCATAAATATCTAAGTCATGTAAGAGACCACACAAGTGAGCTGACACAGAAGTGAGCTGACTGTTCCATGAAACCACACTTGAAGTCAACTTCTAGCAGAGCTTAACAAAACAGGAATTAATTGTTTGTCCTAAGTCATGGGAAAACCACAAATGTTACTAATGTATTTCTTATTCCTCTCTCTTGTCAATAATTCTACTTCTTATGCATGGAAAACTCATGTGTTTGTCCTAAGTCATGGGAAAACCACAAATGTTACTAATGTATTTCTTACTCCTCTCTCTTGTCTACTCCTTATGCATGGAAAACTCATTTTCCCAGCCTTCCTGTGGTTTCCCCCAGGCTCTCTACAAAATACAATAATAATATAATCTATTAAATTCTTCCTCCATTCACATCTAAGGGACAGATTTTCAGCACTTACTTGAGCTGCAGGTTACACAAAGTCACACAACCCTGGTGTTGTGCCACCTAATGGGACACAAGCACACGGCAAAGTTGCAGTAGTTCACCTGGGGATGTGAAAGTACTGAAAGCAATTTTTAGCATACAAATATAAATTAGCACAAGGGAAAATAATGTTTAGGAATTTTTTTTTTTACTCAGTGGTTTGCTTCAGTCTGTAATAGATTCCCCCAAGTGGAGCTCTGGAGTGTTTCAAACTGAACTAATTATGGTCAGGTCCGGTGCAGTGCCAGGGACATGGTTAAAAGGCAGGTGACTCCAGTAAGTGACACTGAGACTGGACTAACTAGACTGACCAGTTTCTCTCTGCCCCTTCCTTTTTGTTAAAAAAAAACAAAACAACCAACCAACTATTGCTAAGGGTCAAGAGATATGCTTACATAAAGGCTGGCCTGTTAAGTTGCCAGGTTCAGTGTGTGCCACAGTGATTGCCTTGGCAAGTTAGAGTGTCACAGGCCTTTTGAAATTATCCATGTAGGTAACTTCTCACTTGAAAAATCTCCTGGTTAAAGCTCTGCAAGGCTGGCTGTGCTGCTCAGCACGTCAGCCTGTCTTGAACAGGTAAAAAGCAGGAATTTCAAATTAAACAAAGCAATACTGAGGTTCTTTCCACCTCTGGACACTCCTTCCTCTGCTGGAGCACACTGTAACCAAACTCAGTGATCTGAATTCAGCCACATACCTGCACTACTTGTCCAGGATGAGTGGTTTGGGGACATTTAAATTTCTATAGCTTAATCATTTGTAGTTATTAATATTTTGCATATCTTAGAGAGAAGTCTGTTGCCTACAAAGAAAATAATTCAGAGCTTTCATGCTCAAAATTTTAAAAATAGAAATGTGTCAGGAAACCTACTATAGGTAGATTTTATTTGTGTAATGCTGTAAATTATCCAGGTAACAGTGGGACTGAAAAAACATGAGAATACAATTGTGTTTCCCAAGAAATACCAGATTTGGGAAAAAAAATTCTAATCATGCACTCCTGCTTTTACAAGTATGTATTCAAACTGCAGAGTTACACAAAAGTCATGTGTGCTGCAAATTACGAGACACTGTCACAGCACAAAATTTGCATAAAATTTGCTTCTATTAAAAAAAAGTCTCCTCCAGAGGGCAGCATTGAACCAGCATTCACCTTTACAATACACATACTACACTGACAGGCCAGGGGAGTTATTTACCATCATGAGAAAGCTGGAAACTTTGTGGCATTTTAATACTTTAATTAATTTTTATTAGATATTTTAATCAGTTGTGCATTACAGTGTGAGTTCTTGAATTCTTGCCCAAGACCTGCTATATTTGGCTGAGTGCAAAACCAAAACTTTACCCAGGGTAGTGGTTACTATAACAATCTTAATAACAATCTTGGTGTCATTTTCCATGGATTACTTTGCATCATTGCATGGGATGTCTTAAACTGCTGAAACCTCCCACATATTTTGCTGGTTTGCTTAAGGATTTCAAATGCTAAATTTATGAAATTATAGAAGACAAAAGCATATCTAAATATTTTATCTATTGGTTTCCTAAAAAGAAAACATATCAAAAAGTCATTACCATGAAAAGAAACATTCTTACTTTTAAATACACAGGAGAAAAATCCATACAGAAATAAATTCCATCACCAGTATATATACAGGAGGTGTCAGAAACAGTGCATACAGAAGAGGTGACTCCCCATGGGAATAAAACAAAGCATGTGGCAATATCTTGATTATGACATTTTTAAACTAAAATATTGATGAATTGACACTTGGGAACAGTTCCAGTTTGGGGTCACTTGAGGATTTCTCTGGCACCTGTTTTGTAATCCAAAGAAATATTCCCGAACTCTCTGGCCAAGCTGTGACTGAGCTGCAAAACTCTTAATTAATCTCATTTGTCCCCTTGAGAACAGGCCAAATTATTGGGTTCATGCTCTGGCAGGGTTCCTCTCAAGCTGTGGAGTTACACACATGGGTTTTTTTGCCTTACTCCCTTCTTCCCCAAATCCATCCTCCCTGGAAGCTTTAGGGAGCTCTCCCATAGTCAGGGTTGGGTGGGTGCGGCATCAGCACTCCTGGAGCAGCAGAGCTCCAGCCTCAGTCACGGAATGCACTTGTGTGTCACAGCAAGGCAGCCCTGCCTGCAGAGCTTTGGGGCTGAAAAGCCTTCCAGGGGTCTCAAGAGAGTTCTTGTGCCCTTATGATTCAGTTTGGGAGCTTTGATTCCAAAACCCACTGGGCTACAGTGTGTTAAGAGAGAGGATGTTGGTGGTGGCTGGAAAGGAGGTCATTAGTTACAGTTTGAAATGGAACAAGCCTTACAGAAAACTGTGTGTCCTCTGCTCCTGGGCAGCAGCAGACATGGTTGCCTAAACCTCATGGAAAGCACCATGCTTTCACAAGCAGTTAAATTAGAGGAAGGAATTTTGTTTTGTCAACTAAAAAACAAAAATGTATCTGTCTGAGTTTCAGGTTCCCCCAATATCAGTAACTGCAGTGTGTTACCCAGAATGTCTGTTGATGAATCTATGAAGTTACACCAAATATTTTAGTGATCAAGAAAAATCAGTGGCTAAGTCTCAGCCTGACCCACATTTCATAAGCATTGGCAGCCTCTCTGTCAATCATATTCATTGCTGCTGACATATAGTGGTAACATTCAGCTGCTTTTTGGAATTGCTGTAAAGCAGTCTCAGATTCTTTCAATCCAAAGGGGAAAACAAAAGAAGAGAGATTTCCTGGGGGAAAAACTCCCTAAGCTTTGTGAAAGGCTGAGATCATGACATAGTTTTGAGCAAGACTGCCAGTACCATCTACAAGTAAAATTTGTCTTTGTGAGCTATTCACAAAGTATTCAGAAAGACCCACATAAACATTTTCATATGAAGGAGAAAATAATCAACTGATCTGGCATGAATTTGCAGAGCAAAGCACATCTTTTCAACTCACTGCAGTAAGATCATGACTGCTTTGTATTTAACAACTGCTCTTCTAAATATGTTTGTGTGTAAGGCACATGGAAGTCTAAAGAGATTTCCTCTTAGACTCTGTGTAATCAGTACAAAACCCAACAGTTTCTCTAATAAAGTCTGTTGATCTGAATGATGTGATTGATAACCACAGAATGGCTGGGCTGGGAACAGTCTTTAAAGGTCATTGAGGTCCATCTCTGTGCCGTGGGCAGGGAACCAGGGACACTGTTCAGAATCCAGAGGCCAAATGCACCGATCTCAGCTGAGGACCGGGCAGGACTTCAGGTGCCAGTGAGAGCCCTGCTGGGGGATCCTGTCCCTGCTCTCCACAGGGCTCTGCTCCTTCCACAATGAGGGCTTGGTGCAGTGGATGTACCACCCCCAAGGAGTGGGGAGAGATCCAGGAGAGCTGCTGGTTCCCCGTATGAGCTCCTCATAGCCAAAGTGGCAGCAGTGTCCAGCAGGACCTGTACCTGCCAGCATTCCTGATGGGAGTGGCAGCTGCAGGAGTCCAGAGCAGCCACTGCCCGTGAGCAGTGAGTCCAATGTCCTGAACATTCCTGAGTGGCTGCACACGCAGAGATGATCTTTGTACATGCAGAACCAAGGGCCTTTGCCTGGGAGCTTCTAAAGAGGATCACCAAAAGATTTGGTGGCTGAGCTGCAGCACTGGTGGGGGTGGACACAGCTGTGTTAGAGTGGTAATTCCAGCCTTCCTCCACTACCAACAAATGGCTTGGGTGCTGTGGCAGCAGAGGCTCTGTGCTGGGAGGGGGACGGTGGCCTTGCAGAGTGGTGAGAGGGTAAAGCACTATTCTGGTATTCTGTATCAATGTTTTGCAGGCCTGGCAGTGGTCACAGTTGATGCCTACAAGCACTGGATATTCCACAAGTTGAAGACGGAATACTGACTTGTTTACCTGAAGATAATAGGACTTCGGGGTATTTCCTCAGAGAAAATATAAATTTTAATATAATTTCATAAGCTTTGGAGGTTAGCTTGTCTTGTAGCTTCAGTGATATCAAACTTCTTCAAGTAGGAGCTAGATAGAAAGCTGTTTAGTTTTTGCCAGCGTATGTAAAACAAGACTTTTCTATCTGCATTGTAGATTGTTTGTGGACACTTCCAGATTCTTGTGCTTTCTGCAGTCATTCTGGGGACTGAACTCTCATTGATATTGAAAGAAGTTCCATGAACACGACATGTGCAGGAATTTGAGTGTAGAAGCCCACAGTATGGTTTGGAATAGTGAACTGTTTTTAGTTTGGAGATGACTGGGGGAGATGGGAAGAGCAACTGTACATTAAGGGAACAATTACAGATCTTCCTGGTGACATCAATGAGAGATTTGCCTTCAACCTTTCACAGAAAATTTTTTAGCTTTAATTTGGGATATTAAAGGGGTTTTTCAAAAGCACTAAAGGCCAGTGGAAGCTTGTTAGCTGCTCCTTATGCCTTTAAAAACCCCTACACCAAAAGTGATAGCCAAGAACATGAAATGGAAGTAAATAAAATGCATTTTCATTGCTGTTTTGAGTTACATAATTGTTGTTTCTTGATTTGTTAGTTGATCTGAATTTAACATGGATTTAATCTGTATGGTGACCAAGGAAATGGTGAGTAACTGCTAGAGATGCCAAGTACAGCCACAAAGCCAGTGATGTGTAGGTGTAGCCCCTGAGCAGCCAGCCAGGTACAAATGCACTGCCCACAGCCCTGAGGCTCTGTCACCTCTCCTGAGCTTGGTGGCCATTCCAGCACTGACCAGCACAGAGCACAGGCTCACCCTGACTCCTGGGGTAAACTCACGGACAGCTGAGAACTCACAGACACCAGGCATCACCCTACCTGTGTGGGGCACCAAGCACATTCCCACTGTTGTTCACAATATTGGAGCAAGACCTCCAGCACTAGGTCAGCTTGGACAGCGCAGGGGGCACCTGGATGGTCCCATCCCTCTCTCAGTCCCTCTGGCAGTAGCTGCAGTGAGAGTGGCAGTGAAGCAAGAATCTTAACAGAGGTTTTGGATCTACTCAGTGCACCAAAACTGCCTCCCTTCTGTAGTCTCTAAGATCAAGGCCACAAAGAGCCATAATACTGTGTTTGATACTACAGTCAGGCTCCTGATTTCACCTAGAACTCCTACTCAGAACCCAGCAACTTGTATTGAGCAAAGTATTTCCTCCAGACATGATCTGTTAAATGAAAAGGGCATAAGGGTGATAGCAATTTATCACTGATCTGGTTAGGATTAACCAGTTTTACCAATAAAAACCCACAGCTTACTTTTTTGAGTTTGTGTGGCTTCAACTTCTACCCATTGGATGAATATTTGTGTATCTCTCTGTGCGGTTTAAAAACTTGTTAATACAAAGTATCTCCTCCCTGTACAGGAATCTGGTTGCTTCTTGATCTTCATTGTAAGCTGAACAGACTCGGCTGTAAGCCATCTTCTTCTTCTTTGAAATATTTTTTTATGGCTCTCTGCTGCACAATTGATGTTTTTTCAACATCTTAAAAATGTTGAACTGTGGAATAGTTTGCAATTTTAATTGATCCCACAGTGGCATATGCAGATATCAAAATAATAGTGATTTTTATCCACTACCCTGCTCTGCATGGGATGTGCCTGAGAAGAGATAATTTAACAAAAGAGACTGAAAAGGTGAAGAAAAATAAGACAACAAGAGGAGAGTGCAGAGTTAGTTTACAGTTAAAACCATGTAAACCAAGAAGAAATAAAAAGCAAATGAACCCCACAAACCAAGTCAATTAAATATTCCAAACTCCCAGTTTCTGGGAACTCCAAGATCAGCATTTATGTGCTCTGTTGTTTAAGAAGGGACTTGAGCAGAGCCTTCCCTGTCCTGCAGCTCCCTGCACTGAAATACTGCCAGGTTTTTCTGGTTTGAAATTCCGCAGCAGAGGCTTCCTGGGGAATTTGTGTTCCACAGTAACAAAGTGCTGGCACATCTTCAGGATCACACCCCAGAACAGGACCCAGAGGTGCTTCCTCTGGAGGAAAAAGGTTTCTCTTGATTGTAGAGGAAATAACCACAGGCAGTCAAGGTTATTCAGTTTAGCCCCAGAATTGTGTTCCCATCACACCCACAGCAGGTAGTGATGGATGGAGCTTGGCTTTGTTTCCTCTGCAGGTTGCAAATCCTTCTCCTGCATGACCAGACAGTAGAGAGCAGCTTCTTTCATTTTCAGGGCTGCATCCTTCTTTTCTTTGTTTTCAGCCAGGTTTTTTCACCCTTTTAATGTGCGTGTACAATGCAAATATGAAGTTGAGAGCCAAATTAGGACAGGGGTTTTGCCCTCCTTCATGCAGTAAGGCACACGAGGCTGGCTCAGTACTGTTAGTTCACACTGCAGCATGAGCAGGGAACACTGTTCATCCTCAGCTACTGCCATCGGTACCTTTAGCAAATCCTGGTGTTACCATGCAATGGTATAGGTTTGAGAGCTTTACATTATTTTCCAAGTCCATAAATGTCAGAATCCAGTATAAAAAAAGGTCAATATATTACTGTCAAAAGTTTTTTTTTTTTCCTTTTTTTATACAAAAATTAAAAAGATCAAAATATATCACATTATTTACACATTGTGCTTCATGCTTAGAGATCACTGAAAAAGAACACACAAACAAACATTTTGATCAGAGAAATGCTCCATTCATTACACTTACTAACCTTATTGTTAATACTATAAGGATTGGCATTCAGATTTCTTTAATACTAATGGTACATCCAAACAAATTACACAGAATTAAAACCTTGGATATACCAAGGGTGTGCTCACATTCTAACTGAGGGTTTGCAATCAGTTACTGGCATGCTGTTAACTCCAGCTGTGTTCACATACCACATGTGTACAGCTGGCTTTGTAATTCCACTCAGCTTCAGAGTCATACTCTTGTTGGAGAATGAGGATTCTCCTACAAGTCTGGATTAAATCCTCATTTTACAGGAGGACACATCTCTCCTCATTCTCCCAGGCTGCTCTGGGTGCACGAGATGCTACAATTACCTGACCACTGCACCCAGGGTGCTGATCAGAGCACTGAGGCAGTGCAGGGTTGTGAGTTACAATTACAACGGCAGAAGAGTTTTTGTTAGGAAAGAAATGTTTGGAACTCTGTAGCAAAGAGACAACCCATTGTTAACTTCTCAGCTGGGAGGGTATGGACTGAGAAAGGCACATGAGCACCTGGGGCAGCCTTTCCATGGGTGGTTCCTGAGCTTCCTTGGCCATGATAAAAGCCTGAGCAGGCCTGTAAAAAGGCACTCTACTGACAGTGTTAACAATGATTTGTGTCATGTTTAGCAAGTTTTTGGTGTTCCCAGCACCAGTCTAGAGCTGGGGGGAACAAGACCTGAAGCTGCTGGAATCCTGCTCTCCCAAGGCATAATGTCATGTCTGCCAGGCCTGTGAGCTGCTGCTTTAAGCATGTTCAGCAGTGCAAACCATCACCATGCAGGGAGCAGAACTACTCAGGACCTGTTCAAGGATATACAATTATTAATGTTACTGTACCTTATGCCAACATCCTGCTACTGGCAGTCCGTCTGGTCCCTGCAAAATTGAATTTACAGATTCAGTTTTCCTGACAGTGACAGGACCCAAAAACCTGAAGCTCATTTGTCACAATGAAAGTCTTAACAGCACTGTTAATTACCATGCAAAACCCATTTATTGTATATGCACAAAAATAAATATGCAGGCAATGTAATCCATATGTCACGCACAACACAAAATTAAATACACCTCAGGGTAAACTAAAAAAAAAAATTGGAAATCTACACCTTTTTTTCCTTTAAACAAACAAAATGTGTACAAATAGAAAGATTTGAAATCACAGTTCATTAACTTCATAGTCTGCTTTATAAGGTAGTGTATTTTGCAATCAGACATATATATGGAAAGCATGATGTGGGAATGTATTTTTTGTTAAAATGTGCTTTTCTGTTTGGGGGAGGTGATGTAGGTATTTTTTTCCTAGATGGTGTCCTAATTGTGTTAAATTTGATCCTGCAGTACTTAGTTTCTTTAAGAAATCTCGAGTTGAACTGAGAATAGGATGAGTTATGGACTATGCAAAGGAAGTGAAAATATTTGTCTTGTTCCACTGGAGATACAAGAAACATACAAAAATCAGAAGAGCTCTCACTCCAGGAGAACACTGGAAAGGAAGGAGCCCTTAGAAGAGGAACGAGCTATGTATGACCAGCTCTCTCAAGACACCTCAGAAGAAATTGCTGCCTTCAGCTGCCTTTCCTGATGCTGGATCTGTTTAAGGCTCTTGGATCTCCAATTACATGAATTTCTGCATGTAGAGCCACAGAGAGCACACAGGCACTGACCCTTCCCTCAGAGCCACCTCCAGACTCACTAGGGCTGGGAAGAGGTGGATGCAGCAGAGAGAACTGCTAGTGCAAATACAGGTCAAAATGCAATTTTACATTTTTTACTGTAAATGTTAGTCATCACATTTTTTTGTATTCTGTATTGATTTTATATGTAAAATAGCCTATGCCCAATAAAACAGATGCAGTGAAGTAAGGTAACCCTCTCCAGCTACTCAGAGTGTAAGCAGTCATGCTTTCCTGTAACCTTAGTTAGAAAACACACTTTTTTTTTTTGCAGACACAGTCAATATTTTGGCCCAAAGCTATTAAAAAAAAAGGGGGTAGAACATGTACATTTGCCAGAGTTGTCTGGGGTGATGGGTACAGGGGACAGAGTGGTTGTTTGACCTAAAACATGCTGACCTGCTGTTAAGGTGCTCCCTGACACTGATGGTCAGGGGGTTTATCTCTGCCCTGAGCTACTTCTCTTTCTTGTGCATTCAGAATACTTATTTTGGCCATCATAAAACTCCACACCTTTCTACCATATTTCACATGAGTGACTCCAAAATGACTCTTCCTGGCTCTGTGTGGGGCTCATGCTGATGCTCTGGACTGAAAGCCCAGCAAGCCTCTTCTGCACCCTGGGCTGCAGAACAAAGTCAACATTTCAAGCAACCTGCAACTAACCAGGAAAATGCACAAGTGCTTTGCTAAATGGTCACGTTGTAGTTAATTGGAGGAATCACCCACTGCAGCTTACAATGCCTTCAACAGAGATGGGTCCTGTGTTTTCTGTGTAGTTAAGATGGGAGATGCTTGGGAAATAGAACATCTCTGGGGAGTAAGTAAGAAGTTAGAGCAGGCCTGAAGTTAGGAATTGGTTTCTTGGACACATCTGAAAGTAATTTAACTTTTTGAAAGAGAAACAGCTTACTGCCCTTTTGTTTTTCCGAGGACAACTGCAAATCATCTAACATGCAGCATTTTCTATGGTTAAAAAAATGAAAATAAAACAATGACCTCTCTTAGCTAGTGGTGCAGAGCCCTTTTGGGGAGCAGAGCACGAACCTTCCTGCATAAGCACTGGATAACCTGAGCAGAGCTCTGTGCTGACACAGCAAAACCCTTCTGGTGCCCAGAGTGCCAGTGGCCCTGCTCTGCAGGACTGCTTGCTTGAGGAAAGCTT